TGATCCCAGGTCTCATTCTAGCTGACCACGTCATGAACACACCCTTGTTACCTACCTTTAACCTCGTTATAATCATAGTCTAATGCCTATTACATTATATTTATGATTATATTAGTCTCTCCCACCTGTAATTCATAATATCTTTATTATATCTTATCTTGGCCAAATATTATATATAAAGCTATTAACCTACCATGAAATAATCTTTTCAAGAGGCACCAAAAATGGTAATAATACTTAATCTCATTATAAGTACTTATTATCAAAAATTATAAAAATAATCTCTCAAGCATTTGATTCTATTTCTATAGAAAAAATTTATTTTTTATTAGATTGTTATTTAAATAGATGAATACTTATTATCATAATTTATAATAAAATATATAGTCAGATAGTATAAAAAATATAGATTAATTAATAAAGAAATTATAAATCAGATTAATAAGTTATTAAATTAATAAAAAAAAGTGGATATAATAAAAAATAAAGAGTATATTTTATTATATCAGATTAATAAATATTAAGAATATGCATTATGATGATAGATATTTTTATTTTTTGATGTGATTATTCTTATTTTACTATGAGAGATATTCTTTACTTATTTTATCTATATATAAATTAGCAGGTATTAATTAAATAGTATAATAATTTAACTTTTGTTAATCTTATTATAGGGATTAATATTAATTTATTATTAATTATATGATTAATTACATTACTATATAATATTAGAATTAGGATCAAAATTTAGTATTTCATATAATAAATTGGATATCTTATATTATTCTGTATTATAGAAATTTTTTTATAATAATTTAAATTATATTAATTTATATTTATATAAAATATAATTTAATTAATAAAATATTAAGTATTATATTAGATAAATTAATAATATATTAAGTATAATAATAATTTAATTAGTATAATATTATTTAAATTAATACTTTTTTATATATAATCTAAAATATTAATAAGAATTTTAAAAATTAAAATATATATTTAAGATAATTAAAATTATAATTTAATATTATTTTAAATAATTAATATTATATTAAATAAGATAAATAATAAAAATTAAAATTAAAAATAAATAAAAATAAAAATAATTATATCAAGATATAAAAAAAGTAAGTAATTATTAAAATATAAAAAAAATAAATAAAATAAATTAAAAAATTAAAGATAAAAAATAAACTAATAATATATTAATTAATTAATTTTTTATTTTTAATAATAATAAAAATTAAGATAAAGATAATATTAATAATAAGTTTAAAATTATTGCAATTTAATTTTCTTTTTTATAATCTAAATAAGATTTATTAAATATCTTATTATTAAAATTAATATTTTTAAATATTAAATTAATAAATTTTATTAGCAAAATAATTAATATAATTTTATATTTAATAAATTAAAAAAATAAATATGATATTAAAATTTTTAAAAATAACAAATAATAAAAAAATTATTAATTAATTTATAAAATTTTTAATTTTAGTATAAAATAAGAATATTATTCAAAATCTTAAAATTTTAACTTTAGTTATAAATAAAACTAGTAAATATTATTTTACTAAACTGAAAGTTTTATATTAAATTATTAAAATTTTTATATTCTATTAAAATCTCTATATCTTATCAAAATCTTTATATTCTATTAAAATTTTAATATTTTTTCAAAACTTTTAAAATTTTTAAAGATTTTAATAATAAAATTATAATAAATTAACAAGATTTTGATATAGTTTATAAATATTAAATTATTAATATATTTTTATATATAATATAATTATTATTTATTTGTTCAGGTAAAATCTTTATTATAATTTTTTATCTTTAAGCAAGTACAAGAAAAAATTTTTGTGAAAAAATAAATATAAAAACTACTGAATAAGATAATATAGCATTTATTTTATTAAAGGTATTTATTTATTTACTCAATTAATCTATTTTCAGATTAGTATTAACTTTATCATAAAACTTTTCAAATAATTTACTATTCAATTTTTTATTTTTATTTTTATTTTTAAAAAATTGAGATAGAAAAGGAGTAAAGAAAATTATTATATATAAGTTTATAAAGCTAATCAAACATTTATATATTCAGAAATAAGATTATTAATATATAAATTTGTAAAATAAATTAAATATCAAATAAAAATTTATCTATCCTATTTATATCTCTATCAATTTTTTATATTTTAAAAGATAAATTAAAAATAAGAATTTGAAATAAATAAAAATTTGTAAAGTAAATTAAATATCAAATAAAAATTTATCTATTCTATTTATATCTCTATCAATTTTTTATATTTTAAAAGATAAATTAAAAAATAAGAATTTGAAATAAATAAAAATAAAAATGACTATATAATAAATAACAATTAATAAAATAAAGTAATATAACTGAGATTATAAGATAAAGATAAAGAATTAATTGATAGCAATATAATAAGTTTTTAAAGATAATCAGTTCAAAACTTATTTTGAATACTATTAGTTTTCTTGACTTTTTTTTAAGTCTTAGTATGATAGAATGACAAATATTAAAGTAATGAATAATTTCATGAATATAATATAATTGCTTAAGCACATTTTTCTAATGTGAGTTATGCCATTTTCTTAGAAAAGTTTAAACATATACAAATTATATAAAGCTATAAAGCAAGCCTTGGAGATTTTTTTATTATCATGATTTTTTTGTTTTCATAATACCGAAAAACATCAAAAAAAAACGCGAGAATCAGGTGACTACGATTAGCAATGTAAGTGGTGCGTTATTTTTGCAGGTCACTGTATTTTATAAACTTTAGACTTCGATTCAATCCATCTGTCAATCATGTTTAATCCTTTAATCTTTTCCATAATTAGATCAAAAGATTACCGCTACATGTAAATCTAAAAACTTCTCTACATATAACTATTTCGATACTTTTGACATTATTTTCTAAAATACAATTTTTGTTTATATTACAATCTTTTTTGTTTCTTATTGAAAATGGTATGTTTGCTACGTGAATATTTAGTTTTATGTTTATGTTTGACGAATTTTTATCTTTATCCTTTGAATAAATGAAAATCTCGCTTGCAGGATGAAGAATATGATGTTATCGTACTCGGTACTGGTTTAACAGAGTGTATTCTCTCAGGTTTGTTGTCTGTTGAAGGAAAGAAAGTCCTTCATATGGACAGAAACGATTATTATGGTGGCGAGTCTGCTAGTTTGAATTTGACCCAGGTGAGAAAATTTGTTCTTAAAAAGTCTTATTAAAGGAGACTAAATTTTCTTTTATTGCTTGCTAATGAGGATTATATGATAACCTTGACGATGATGCTTCAATCGTGAATATTACTATCATTTTAGCTTTATCGCAAATTCCGGCCGGGTCAAGAACCACCCAAAGAACTAGGTGCTGATAGAGACTTCAACATCGATCTAATTCCAAAATTCATGATGGCCAACGGCGAGCTCGTCAACATTCTCACCCATACCGAGGTGACACGTTACCTCGATTTCAAACAGATATCCGGGTCGTTTGTTTATCGTGATGAGAAAATCTCTAAAGTCCCAGCCAGTGAATTGGAGGCAGTGAGAAGTCCGTTGATGGGGCTATTTGAGAAGCGAAGGGCAAAAAAATTTTTCGAATATATGCAAAATTGGCGTGAGGATGATCCTTCTACTCATCAAGGTGCATACTTAATTTGTTTTCTTTACGACGTATTAAATGTTTATAATTTTTATTCTTTGACACTACTTATATTGTTTTAAAATTAGGTCTTGATCTTAATACTGTCACAATGGCAGAGGTTTACAAGAAATTCAATCTTGAACCCGGTACCCAAGATTTTATTGGCCACGCAATGGCCTTGCACTTGGATGAAAGGTAACTTCTTTATGAGCATAATATACTACACAATCATACACAAATCTTAACTGTTCTCTACGAAATTATTTAATTTTTATTTAGTTACCTTGAGAGAACCGCACGTGAAACCTACGAAAGAATTATACTATATATTACATCTGTAGCACGATACGGTAAAAGTCCTTATATTTATCCATTATATGGTTTGGGAGAATTGCCACAAGGTTTTGCACGGTATGTGTATGCAATGTTGTTTGATGCTTTAAAATAAATACTCATATTTATATAACTAAATATTTAGTTTGAGTGCTATTTATGGTGGAACGTACATGTTAGATAAAAAAGTAGACGAAATTGTCTATGATGATAGTGGCCGTGTTATTGGTGTTCGTTCTGGCGAAGAGGTAATTATTTTTTGATATTTGAAGTAAAAAAATTATAATACCGAAGAGATAAAATATTTAAAAATTAGACTGCCAAAACCAAACAAGTAATTGGCGATCCATCCTACTTCCCCACCAAAGTTCGCAAAGTTGGGAAAGTCGTTCGTGCCATTTGTTTCCTAAAAAGTCCAATACCGGACACTGAGGATGCTGATTCGGTTCAATTGGTTATTCCGCAGAAACAAGTTAATAGAAAACATGGTATAAAAATTGTTATATACATCACAATTTCTATTTAATCCAATTATTAATTAGTTTTTTATATCTAGATATTTATGTCGCCAGTGTTTCTTCGGCTCATTGTGTTTGTGCTAAGGGCCTAGTACTTGCAATTGTCTCGACAATCGTCGAAACTGATAATCCCGAAAATGAAATTGAACCCGGCTTAAAACTGTTGGGGCCTATTATCGAAAAGTAAATACCAGTTTAAAATTCCCAGACATTATATAAATAATAATTCACGATTCCTCTATAAATTATAGATTTGTCGCAGTCTCTGATCTAGAAGAACCGATCGAGGACGGAACAAAAGACAATGTATTTATCTCGCGTTCTTATGATGCCACATCTCATTTTGGAACTGTTTGTGTTGATGTCAAAGACATTTATCGACGAGTCACCGGCAATGATCTAGTTCTTAAACAGAGAACTAAACCAGAAGAAAATGTTTCATAATGTTATTTATCGTTATTTATTAATGTTACTAGTTGTGATATATAGGTTTGTTTAGTAATTTCTTATTTAAAAAATTGAGACTAAAAATGTCGAGCAAAATACACTTTCGGAGGATTTATTATAGAGTCACATGACATAAGCCTGAATTATCTAGCTTAATTTCTTTAATGCTGGATAATTTAAGTCGAATGACTTTGGTCTAATTATGGTTTTATTTTAATATTGGCCAAAATTATGTAATGTTTTGAGATGCGCTAAAGCGTTATAAGTCATGTGATATACATCCAATATAAAAAGTTATATTAAATATACTCTATTTAATATAAAAAAATTATAAATATTAATTATATTTCATATAACTTTTATTAAAAGTAATTATTTTTTATATATAGCAAATCTTTTTATATTATATTTTTTATATTTATACTTTTTTATAGTTAATTTTTCAGTTATTAATTAATTATATTATTATCATTTTAAGATTATGCATATGTAATTATTTTAAAATAGTAATAGTGACTGTATTTATGGTAGCTGTTTATTTTTTATAACTTCAAGAGATTATATAACTGATTATCTTCTTAATAAGATAATATATATGAGAATTACTTTTGATAAAATATGATTATCTTCTTAATAAGATAATTTATATATATTTTACTTCTAATAAAATGCTCTTTCAATAGAGCAAGAAGAAAATAAG